CCCCATAGCTTTCACTCAATTAGACGGGTCGATGGCATCAGGAGCCCCAGCGACCTTTGAAGCTAAGGGAGTGAATTGCAAAGTGGGCGGCTGGGAGGGTGAGGTAACATTTGTTATCTCCCAATTAGCAACATACAATATAATCCTGGGGATGCCATGGCTGCAAGGAGCAAATCCTTGTGTAGATTGGGAGAAGAGAAGCCTGAGATTCCCAAAGACGACAACGAGGATGGGAGGTAGAGGCGAGGAAAGTAAGCCAAAGGATTGGGTACAGGCCATTCCCCCCCAATACCGGGACTTTGCTGATGTTTTTGATGAGAAGGAAGCTGACAAATTACCTCCCAAAAGGAGAGTTGAGGTGAAAATTGAATTGAACAAGGACGTTACACTCCCTAAAGCTAAGATTTACCCAATGTCGGCTAGGGAGATGGATGAATTGAAACAGTACATAGACAAAAACCTCGCGCGGGGGTTCATTGAGCCTTCTGATTCCCCCCTTGGGGCCCCCGTGTTATTTAGACGGAAAAAGGACGGTTCACTTCGATTGTGCGTGGACTATAGGGGGCTAAACGCCGTGAGCACAAGCACCTGTTACCCTTTACCTCTAACCAAGGACTTGTTATCTAGACTGGCGGAGGGGAGGGTGTTTACGAAGCTGGACTTGATTGAGGCGTACCACAAAATCAGAGTGAAACCGGAGGATAGGTGGAAAACTGCATTCTCAAGTGCGCTCGGATTGTACCAATTTTGTGTTTTGCCTTACGGCCTAAAAGGGGGGGGAGGGGCATTCATGCAGATGATCAACGAAGTGTTACATCCATTATTGTATCGTGGGGTCTTTTGTTATATCGATGATGTAATAATTTTTAGTAAAAATGAAGATCAACATAATCAATTGGTGAGGGAGGTACTCCAAAGGCTAAGGGAGGCAAAATTGTTCGCCAAACTAGCCAAATGTGAGTTTAATAAGAAGCAAATTGACTTCCTAGGATACAGAATATCCCACAAAGGTATTGCTATGGACCCCACGAAGGTGGAAGATGTGAGAGCGTGGGAGCCCCCAACCACACGCAAACAACTACAGTCATTTTTAGGGTTCGCAAACTTTTACCGCTCATTCATAAAAGATTTTGCCCAGCTCACATTACCACTCACAGAACTGCTGAAAACAAAAGGGAAGGGGGAGTCAGCAAAAACACGATCCCCGGGGGCTAAGCTAGTATGGTCAAAAGAATGTCAAGATGCCTTCGAAAAGTTAAAGTGTAGATTTACGGAGGAACCGCTTCTAACACACCCTGATACGGCCAAGAAGTTCGTGCTGCATTGCGATGCATCTAATTGGGCATATGGAGCAGCACTTATGCAAAGAGATTCAGAGGGGAACTTGAAGCCTTGTGGGTTCATATCCAAAAAGTTCACCGAAACAGAACACAATTGGCCTATTTGGGAAAAGGAGGCACTGGCGATAATGAGGGCATTGGAATGTTGGAGGCATCTACTAGAAGGGAGCAGAATCCCATTTGAGGTGTGGACTGATCATAGGAACTTGCAGTACCTAACATCCCCCCGCAAATTGTCAGCTAAACAGATTCGGTGGGGTCAGTTCTTCTCACGTTTCCAATTTGAATTAAAATTCCACAAAGGTAAAATGAACGTGGTCGCAGACACGCTCTCGCGGATGCCTAAACAGGAGGGGAAAGAAGAGCGAGTACTAGAAAGCCTCATATCGGTGCAGCAGGGGGGAATGGCGGTCATGACTAGAGCACAAGCGGAGCGCTGCAAAGAGATGGTTGGAGTAGGAGGAGGGGGTAAGGATTGGGAAGATGAGTTGAAGCAAGCATATAAGGAAGACAAATGGCTCCAGGAGAATATGGAAAAGGTGGAGTGGAATAGTGGATTGGGGTTCGTGAACAGGAAACCATACATTCCAAAAGTCTTGCAGGAGGAGATGATGAGGAGATGCCATGATAATAAAAGTGCGGGACATTTTGGGGTCACAAAAACTTCCAAACTATTAGCTAGGCAATGTTGGTGGCCTAGGATGAGAGGTGATATCAAACTATATGTTGCTAAATGTGACACTTGCGCAAAATGCAAAACCCCCACTACCAAACCATCAGGTCTGTTACAAAAAGTGGCTGATCCCATGAGACCATGGAGCTCGATCGCATTCGATTTTGTTGGGGAACTACCACTCAGCAGGGGCCAACGATACATATGGACCATCCTTGACCTATTCTCAAAGCAAGCACATTTTGTAGCACTCCCTAAACTACCATCAGCAGAAAAACTAGCAAAGTTATTTATAAAACATGTTTACCGTCTACATGGATGTCCAGACCAGGTTATCAGTGACAGAGGGGTCCAGTTCACCGCAAACTTCTGGAAGGAATTCATGAGGTTGTTAGGGGCGGAAAGAACATTGAGCTCCGCATTCCACCCCATGACAAACGGGGGGGTGGAACGCACCCAGCAAACTTTAGGGATGTTCCTCAGAGCATACACAAATCAGCGTCAGTCAGACTGGGTCGATTTACTCCCGTATGCAGAACTAGCGTACAACGCAGCCCCACACTCAACAACAGGAGAGTCCCCATTTAAAGTAGTGTACGGCCAAGAGGTCGCTCCCCTTCCGAGGTTGCCAGAATGGGAGGAAAGAGAGCAGAGGAGGGAGGAGGATTGGGCAGATAGAATGAGGGCCAGCTGGGAAAGTGTGGTCACGGCTTTGCGGGAAGCCCAAAAGAAACACAAACTGTTTGCGGATAGGAAACGGAGGGAAGGGGACAAATTAGAGGAGGGCGACTTGGTCTGGTTGTCGGCGAAGAACATAAGGGTGGATGCACCATCTCGGAAACTCACCCCAAGGTTTCTGGGCCCATTCAAAATTTTGAATAAAATAAATGATGTCACATATAAGCTGAAGTTACCCAAAAGTTTGGGGAAAGTTCACCCCGTGTTTCATTGTGGGCTACTCAAAAAATATCAAGGCCCTCTCGATCCAGAAAGTATATAGAGATGTTTCATGTTTTCATTTCAGGAGGAGGAAGAGGAGGAGGACGTCATGTCAGGATCCAGTTTCCGGAGCCCAGATTTTGGCGCCGAAAACTAGAATCCTGACGTTCGACCCTGATAAGGAATCTGCAGCTGGTGACCTTGGAAGAAAGCAGTTGCCTGGTGGCGGGAAGCTTTGCGCGGGGTATTGGGTTTGGCGGGAGCTCACGTTTTGAATTGGTGGGAGTGTATATAAGGGAGTGTCTGCTGCGACCAGACAATCCCGGCTTTTCTGTGTCTGAGTATCTGACAGTAAAGATCTTTGTTTGACTACGATGGAAGTCTCGTGTCATCATTGAGCCCAGCTGTTGTGAGCTGACAGTTTTCTTTCTGGCAATTGAATGTTTGTGTTCCATGTTGGAAACCACCCTGAGTCTCTTTGGGGAGATAGGGCAGCATACACATAAAGTATTATTATTATTACTATTATTAACTCAGTACCAGATAGATTTTGTAGTCTTATCCAACTCTGTGAATCTACCCACACAGTAATAGACATGTTATTATAAATATCAAATTGCTTTCTTAATTACTGGCATTGGTGAATAACAGAAAAAATATATTTCACAGTCCTGGATGCCTGTTGGGAATCCCTCTGCCAGTTTTTATTATCAGAAATAATTTTGCTTTGATTTTTGTGGTGGGCAGAAAACTATCCCAAATGCACGAAACCTGCTCACAGAGACAACAATTGGCTGTTACCTCTGGCCCCTTCGTTGTCTTATTTTGTCTAAAAGCAGTTACCAAAAGTGATGCAGCACCACTTTATATAGGCCATGATGTGTTGATGTGCCCCACAGAGGCTTACTCCCCTTGCTTACATTTACTCTACACAGAATTCTTTAAAAAAAGAAACCTTAAAAAAGAGAGGCATCATCACCTGTCCACCACACCATGCTGTGAGACATGTTATTGTGAAATAGTACTTTCCTATTGTGTCCTCTCTTTTTTCCTTTTTGCTAGTGTTACGGCTATCAGAAAACCAAGTTTTGCTTGGTCTTTCATATTCTTGGTAATACAGTAAATATTCTTTTTTGGGGGGTGGGGGATTACAGCAGAAAGATCTTTTTACTGAGCTCCTGGAAATAGCACTGAAAGAACAAAACTACAACCTGAGAAGAGAGGTGTTGTCTGCAAAACATCTCTTGAGGGGCCCTCCACCATCCTCAAGGGGACAAGCCATGGGATATCTATTAGCACCACAAAAGTCTAGAGGTTTCAAAACAGAATCTGTGAATTAATACAATATTTTGGAGACCACACAAAGTTAAGTCTGGAAGGAGGAAAGTGTGGTGTGTGGCAAGATCATGGGTGACATCATGGGAAAACACCTGTTGGCTCCTTACAGCAAAATGCTTCTATTCCAGATTTAGACTCCTGGGTGAAAAAACAAGATTTGTATGTTTTAATATATCTCAGCTACACAACTTTTCAGTTCCTTCATATAATTTTCTTTATCGCATTTCTCCTCCAAGTACCTCCATTTATTGTGTTTTGGGTTCCTCTATTTATAGATGATTCCATTTCTTGCTGGTTTTTATTTTCAAAGAACGTAATTCTAGGATTTGAGAAATTTTAAGATGCCACATCTTATGTAACACTGGATGTCCCAATATTTTCTAAAGAATCTGGAGCATGTCCTAATTATACTAGATTGAAAGGGCTATATTTTCTTTCTCAATTTATCATGTAATCACTTTTCCTTTAATTGCCTTTTTTTCATCTTTATAGCTTAGTAAAGTCAGTGTTTGTTCACTGAGATGAATTATGTTGTGGTAATTTTAATCAAGCATAAATCAAGGAATGAGAAAAATCCACTCGTAAGTGTGTATTTGGAATATTAGTCTCATATTTTCCTTTCATTAGAAGGAATCATAACCATTTGCTGCGACTGTTTCTAACATTTTTGATGTTTTAATTTTATTTTCATCTTTTTTCCCCTTACTCAGCTCTTGCCCCTGTTCTTTGCCTCTGGTTGTGTTGGTGAGGATATTACAGTGATGTCTGCATTCAACCTACTGCATTTGGTGACAAAGAGCCAGCCGGTGGCCCTGAGAGCCTGTGGTCTTCCCTCAGGTTGAATGGGTGCTACTTGTTGTGGTCGTATACACGGCGGTTCCTCTTAGCAGAATGGGTGCCTCTGCTACAGTAAATGATATCACAAATAAATAAGATGGTAAACGTTTGGGAGGTGGAAGTCTTTCTTTAAAGATATACAACAGTTTTCTTTTAAAATGTTTGGAAAATATATGTTAGCTTTTTGACCCAAACATATAATGCCATTAAAGAATGCTGATGGTGTTTGCAGACCAGAATGAACACCCCCCCCCCACCACGTCAATATATAAATCCAGTCTTCTCCCTTTTCAGGTTTGACTCTTGCTGATGTGATTTTTCACAGATTTGAGTGAAATATTCTCTCTAGAAATCTCTAGGTCCTTCAGTAAAGCTAATATTTACTGGAAGTTTACTATATACTTGACCATAGAGTTACACTGAAGGACCTAGGGATTCCTGGTGAGGACACTTCTCTATTGTTCATCAGTGAAAGTTGGCCATGAAGTATGGCTGAGGGACCTAGGGATTCCTGAAGTGACATTCTCTCAGGCTAGGTCTACACTGCTCTATATCTCAGGATCCGATCCCAGATTATCTTCTTTGAACTGGATTATATGAGTTTACACTGCCAGATAAATTGGAATAAAAAGCTAATCTGGAATCAGATTCTGGGATATAGTGTAGATCCAGTTTCAGTTGAAAAATAATCTTTTTGTTCCACTTTTGCAGGTATCCCGCACCCATAACTCTAACGAATGTGGAAGATCGGCTATAACACTTGCCTTAAACAAGATATCTTACCATGAAGTTAGGCTGGAGGACATAGTGATTCCTAGGCTGGATGTACACTGCCAAGATAAAATCCAAATTATCTGCTTTGAACTGGGTTATATGGCAGTGTAGACTCATATAATCCAGTTCAAAGCAGATAAAGTGTTATTTGTTTTGATAATCTGGATTATATATGGCAGTATAGATCCAGCCCTAGAGAAGTTTGTATCATGGGAACTGGTGAAAACTTTAAATACAATTTTCAAGGAAATTGGGAGAAATGGAAGAAGAGTTATTTTAATGACTTTCTAACTCAAAGAGTTTTGGTTTTGTTTTTTTTAAAAAAGAGAGAGATTGCCCATTGGAGAGAGTCATATTACTTCAGACAGAAATTCTTTGTAGTTAGTTCTTCAAGACATTAAAAATTAAACATGAGAAAACCTTAAAATTATGAACTATGGAAGACTGACTACAACTTTGTCGACATATCACAAAATATGTTGTGCCAGTTATCTGGAATACATACAGCTGCTTTCAATTTTTGGGGGGCACAAAATATTTGCAGTTATTTGTCCGTGCATGTTACTATTTTTTATGTAGCTTAGGGTTAATGTGTAATATAAGAGTCCATTGTTTGGAAAAGATTTTGTTTCTAATACATCCGGCAAAATAACAACCGTGCAGGTTATTTCTCCAGATTTCCAGTAGATGGCACTAATTGTGTATCCTTTTGGATAACCAACGAAATAGTTTCATATGCCTTCAATATTTGCATGAAAATTGATGATAGAACTGATTGGTTTTTAAAATCCTGTTTACAAATGTATTCTGTAGATAACATCAGTACGGTCCCTAAACAAATGTGTCACTTTAAAAATAATTCCTCATAATATTTGTATATTTGTAATAGTATTGTTTGCAAACTTCTCCTTGAAATCTTTGGGTATTTTTTTAAAAATCTAGAGAAATTTGGAAAGGGAAAAAATGTTATTTTCTTCACGGGCTTTCTCTTTTCAAGGGAATTTTGATTGTAGGCCACGTTTATGTAGAACCTTCAAGATATTTGCTGTAGCAGAGCACCACATTCATATAGGGGCAAAACTTACTCTGCTTTGCTGTGAGTTTGCATTGTATGAGCTCACTCATATTTGAGACTTGTTCTCCCCTCCCTTTAACACTGTTGTGTTGCTTGTATCACTTTTTGCATGCAGTAGAAAGCTCTCTTTCCCCTTGCTCTTACTAGTAAAATAGAATTACTTGTATAATGTTTTGTTTACAATGAAGACATTCTGATAGACGTGGATGCTTTTTAACATCAACGTGTTTATTTCTCCAAATAAAGTTTTCTTTACCCTACTGCACAGTGTTTAATTGCTTGAAAATTTAAAAACATTGTTTAAAAACATCTGCAGGTCAGTTGTGGAAATTACAATACATCTTTATGAAGTTATTGGGCATATCATGTTTGTTCCTTTTTGTTTGTTTTAGGTACAACAGTTTGTTTATCGGTTTTAAATAATAGCAACGACAACAATATTAGTGTGCAAATTGTATTTAGGACATGTAAGTTCCCCTCACATGATACTAAAATATAAATATGGAAAGAGTGATCCATGATCTCGATTATGGCTGGGAATAGTAATATGATTAGTATTAACAGTAGACAAATATAAATGTTATGACATGACTGTGGCCTTCCAGATGTTGTAGACTTTAACTCCCATGGATCTGGAAATCGTAGGTCAAAACATCTAGCGGGACAAAAGTCCCACATCCTGCCTCGTAAGGTATTTTGAGTATTTATTTGTTGCTTTGCAAATAATATAATCATTACTGTGTGTGTCGTATTGTGCATCTGAGCCAGATTTCATTGGCTGGATATATATGTTGATATGTATCCCAATAGTGGGCCATTGTTTGTTATGTTCACATGGTTGCTTCTCTCTACAGGGTAAATTGTGATCAAATTGTTCCTGTATACATGAGCTTATTCAAATGCCATACAATATTGGTTATCCTGTGTGTGTGTGTGTGTGTGTGTGTGTGTGTGTGTATGTATGCTAGATACACATACAAGCCAGGCTTGCTCATTTCCCTCAATCCCCAGTTCCATAATATGGCATGGAATATATTATTGACAAGCAGTATTGATTTCTAAAATTGTGCATTCTTTAAAGTGGAATCCTTACTCATAATTCTGGCGGTCTGGATTGCTATGCTCAGCGCCTCTTTTTAACAGACCAATTGAATAAGTTCACTCCAACAGATAGGGCAGAATTTTGTCTGATCTGGTTTTTGTGGTATTGTGCTGTTCTTCACTCATTGGGGTAAATTAGCGAAGCAGTTAGCAAATCTACAAGAAGTAAATGAATCGAGATGACTCAAGTACCAGATATTTAGTGCCCTTTTCTAGTTATGGTCTTCTAAACTTTTTGACCTCATAGTATCCAAATAACAACAACAACAATAATGCTGCCTTGTTGATGGCGGAGGGGAGGCTTAACTGCTTCTATGATGTTGAGAGCTGTGCTGGCAGTAGTGTAAACTGCCAGTAAGTTCAACCAAGCCAGAGTGGTCTCAACTGAGAAGCAGAACTAAGTGCACCCAACCAGTTTAAATATGGTGAAACAAACCCTAAAGAGGTCTAGATTGGCTTGGTCGTTGCCCAGGATAATAGGGACCACGGCAAGTGCTTTTCCTAGGCACCTGTTGGCAAATGGGTTACAGGAACCACAACCCACTGCTGAGCAACCAGGGTGTGCCTGTAGGGCAACTGGAAGGAAAACAACTTCAAAAGAGGCAGACATTTTCAAATACAAAAGCTGGTATAGTGATCTTGTTTGCTGTGTACTAATCTTGTTATGTATCAAATAATAATAAAACTTTATTTGTAGACTGCTCTATCTCCCCGAAGGGACTTGGGGCGGTTTCCAGCATATATGGCAAACATTCAATGCCAATGACGAAATAACATACAAACAAATTACATCAGAATAGAACACATCAAATAATATAAGCAACCTAACTTTAAACTTAATAACAGACAAAATAAACCCAAGATAAAATCTTAAATAATCCATACAGACATAATCTCATAGTATAAATTTATCACAGGATAAGACATCTAAAACTAATTACAACCCCATAGAGAGATGGGATGGTTTTCAACAATCAACAGGTTGAAATCAATTCCAATATCTAGACAAGATTTAACATATCTAGGTGAGGATGTGAGTTGTGACATGTTAGTCTTCTTCCTCTCCAGACACCAGAGTGCATAGGTGGGTTTTTAGCAACTTTTTGAAGGCGAGGGGGTGATTTTTAGTTCTTTGGGGGGAGAGTTCTAGAGTCAGGGAGCAATCACAGAGAAGTCCCAATGTGCCTGCTAGAACCAGATGCAAAAGCCTGGATCAGGGCTTTGTGGTAATATACTACAAACAACACCCCCTAGTGTGCTACTTTTGGGGTTAGTAATGATATACCAATGTCCATTTTGGATGGTACATTGTAAGTGGTAATATTGTTTTTCCCAATGCACGGAATAAATTATGGCACACTACTTACTCTTTCTTGTTGTTTTCTGGGACATTCTAAGGAAATGTGTTCAAATTTTAGGCTATTTTCTTGTTTTTATGTGGCTTATTTTAGGGGAAAAATCAGAACAATTGAGCAGATAACATAAAGACTAACTGGAAATAATTCATCTTTGTAATGTTTATGGTAGAAGTTACATTGGGAGACTTTAATTACATTATCTTCAAGAAATAGCATTCCCGTTTGCTTAAAAGCTGGAGCAAATTCATTATGAATTCCATGATTAGTAGGACCTGTGTATCCAAGTACAGATCAAGGATTCCAAAAGTCTTAATTCATCCCTAAAATGCTTACAGAAGTTGTTGAGTCCTACTGATCAGCTTCAACTTGTCCACAGATCATCAATAGATCTTGATTATCTTCAGCCCATGATTAAATTATAGACAACAGTACAGTCTGATGTAACTGAAGTGCTTGGATTTATTTTATTTTAATTATACCCCATCTTTTTCCCAGCACAGGATTCAAGGAAACTTGAAGCTCTGAGACATTATTTTCAGTCTTGAAATTAAATTCTATAATTATTCCTAAAGCACCGAAGGCTTTCTCATGTATGTTTAGAAGAGAGGACTTAAATTTTCAAATATAGTTTTCACAGAGCTGGAAGAGAAAAATGAGTAGATACAAAAGAAGGCTTGAGCTATTCAAAACAG